AGTGAGTGAATAGATAATCACATCTTGCAAACCATGAACTGTTGTAAAGCCTTTACCCACTTACAAAATCATGACCAAATCAAAACCTATTAGAGAACTGTCTTAGTAAAAGTACTTAACCTTTTAATCTTTTATGACAAACTTGAACCAATTTTAGTTATTACTGAAACTTAAACAAGAGCATGAATCTATTATTGTTGTTTGATTGTATTTCTAAGCTTTTGGGTGAAAGTTATACCAGTATTCAAATAAATCTCAACAACTTCAGTTAATCATATTAAATGTGGCCACATTAAGTACTGAGTTTTGCTTTTATGTATTGGTGAATGAAGACCAGATTGTTCAATGAGCAAATAAGTGCTAGCAGTATAACTCAGTACTTTAAAACCTCAATGTTATCAAAGTATGTTTTTATATATGAATAATAAAAAGTGTTCAACTAAGAAAATTAATGTTTAAGGTAAGCTTTTAACATGTGCACATTCACTTATTAAATCTGAGGCAGCTGATAACTCCAAAAACTGACTTGTTTTAGTATAACAATTTACATTAACACTAGTATTGTGTTCTCTTTGAGGACAGTAAAGACAACCAATGCTTAAGATCTGCTTCTAGTGATAGTATTAGTCATTTTTCACATGTAAATACCTTATTTTATCATCATGTTATTAGTTGTACCTAATTTATTAAAATACTGTTGTTGTTGTATTTTGTAAGTAGTTTCATACATAAACCTGAATGACTTGTTTCAATAAAGTGCTTTTATCATGGTGGAAAGACAATTGGCATTTTTCTGTTTTTTTTGTTGTTTTTTATTAATATACCTGACTAATCATTCAAGCTGGATCTGGGTGTAATATTTTAATAACATAAAATTAAATTAAAAAGTTCAACTTATGAACATAATTTTACATAACGTTTTTTATAAATTTCCTCATACAAGCTTAAGCCATGTAATCAAAATATAGAAAGAACCAAGCATAGTAAAGTTAGCAGTACACTGAAGTTGTGAAGGCTTTCTCCAAATAACCTGAAAAAAAAGTCTAGTTAAGGGACATTAGTTATAGAAAAACAAAATCCCATTAAGAGGTTAACTTAAAAATGGACAGGCATTAAGTTGAACAGAATTAACCACAAAAATAATTTAAAACATGAAATAAGTTAAAAAGAAAACAAGCTTTTTTGAGGATTTATTAGCATTCATAGCATTTCTAACATAGATGTATTAGTATTTCCCCACAGCTTGACACAGATATATTAGTATTTCCTCACAGCTTAACACAGATGTATTAGTATTCCCTCACAGCTTAACATGTGTATTTTCTCACTATGTTTGAAAATCAAATTATGCTTTTAGAACTTATTATCATTAGAAATATTCCAAGCAATTAAGGTGTTATAGAACTTATACAAAATGTATAAACTAATCCTGTAATGTACCGAGTATTGGACATTATAACCTCACTGGAGTGTTTAATGAGGCAAATTATCATATCAAGACTATATTGTTATGTACCAGCATTAAATTGTTGGACATGAAGTCGTCTGTTTAACTTCAGTGTTTGGCCACCAGTGAAAGTAGTAGTACTTACAAGCATTAATTACATCAAACTGTTAGAGAGTAGTTATAAAGAGTGAGACTGAAGTTGAGATATAATCCCTTCTGTTACTCAAGGTTTTTCATGCATATGGATGTGTTTTTTGTGTTAGCAGAACGTTTATCAACATGTTGAACTCCTGCCAGTTCTTTTTGTTTCAGTTAAAAATCTTAAAGATTAGGTAGCTTGATCCCTAAAGTGTTTAGTGAAAAGTATCACTTATTTCAAAGTATTAAATCTAGTTGTATTTAACTGAGTCCAATTTCAAGATATCTGATTACAGATTGACAAACTGGAATTTAAATTATACTTCATAGATAAGGGAATTATAATACCAAAGTTTTTTGGTGCTGTTGAGCATGTGACAGTTCACATGACAGAAAGTTAAGCTGAAGAATCAAGGATGTTTTATTTCTCTAAGTGAAATACCAGAGCCAAGGCAGTAAAACGTTTTAGCTTAATAGACAGATGAGTTCAAATACAGCAACTTCATACAACATATAGCAGAAGTTGTTCCTGGAAATAATAAATGACGTAAAATAATCTTCATTAGAATTATCGGATTTCAAATGATTAACATCTGATCTAAAATACTGAGATTTGAAATGAGAAACTTATGAGCCAGAATACTAAGATTTGAAATAAGAACCAGTGAATACAATGATTCATTTCAAAAACAGCTGAGCTAAAATGGAATGTATTTTCTAATGACAGAAAAGTGATTTAAATTACAAAGACTTTCAACCACAGAAAGCTGAGTTAAAATAATTAGATTTTATACGAAAATATAGGTGAAACAAAATATGAGTTTATTTAGAGGGTTGAGTACACTAATATTGTTTTGGATATACAAATCAGCAAGCCACGTAAAAATCACAGGCGATATAAAATCGCAGAGGAATAGCATGTATCACAACTACATTTTGATATTGTTTTGTAGGTAAAGTAATGCCTGAAAACTGATCTCTTTCGGAAGGACAGGTAACAGTCCTTTCAGACGCAAAATGTACATACAATTAGATTTAAAGATGTATTTGGATCAAGGATTTGGAATTTCCAAGACAGCGATATCCCTTATATATATAATGACATTGGAAAACAGATGAATATATAGATGAAATTTGGGCACCAGGAATATTCAGAAAGAGACCTGCAACAAGTCGTATCTTAGCTCTGGTAAATAAAGTACGCTTTTTTGTAAAAGAAGAGGATCCTGAACACAAAGGTTAGTAGCAAAAACCGTACACATATCTCAGGCCATAGTACACAAGATAAACAATACGGATCTTCACCTGGAAAGGAAACACAAGTCATGTGTACCCAAGCTGTTTCCATGACATATAACCGTCATATACAGTATTGAATTCAGGGGGTGTACAGGGAAGGAATTTCTCCATGTGAAGTATAGTATTTTCCAATTTGTCAAATTTTAATTCAATATACCCCAGCTTCACATCCTCCACCCCGGTGGAAAGGTCTGGATTCAACACTGGTCACATACCTCTAGCAGCTCGCATATGGAAGAGTGGTTTACTTCAGACATGACAGCCATATGACTGTAACAGCGTAGTTATGCTCCAAAATATTATGGTAATGTAAATTTTTCTTTACCATGTAGAGCTTATGGTGCAGAGAAAACTGCAGATAGGTAAGGACAAGAGTTAATTAAGAGTGTGACAATGACTAGGAGAGGTCATTTCTTGGACAAGAGTTCTGACTAAGAAGTTAAAAGACATCTAGGGGAACCCAGACTGTCAACTCAACTTGTGCTAACTACTTTCCACATGCAATAGCATAGGGTGCTAAGAACAAATGATGATGGCAATGAATAATTTAGGCATCACAGGACCTTTGGGTTTCTTTGGTTTGAATTTCACGCAAAGCTACAGGAGGGCTATTTGCGCTAGCCGTCACTAAACTAGCAGTGAAAAACTCAATGGAAGGCAGCTAGTCATGACCCACTCCCACCAACTCTTGAGCTTGCACTTTTACCAGTGAATGGTGAAATTGAATGTCACAATATAATGCCCCCCCACGGCTGAAGGGGTAAGCATATTTGGTGGTACAGAAATTTGAACTCGTGCGTCTCGGAGATTGTGAGTCGAGCGCACTAACCACCTGACCATGCAAGACCGACCTTTGGGTATTTTATAGGATTCCCCTAATCATTTACTGATTAGCCAATAATTGCCAGGTATTAGCCAATGTTGCATGGGAACATGGGAGAGGTGAGGAATATACTGGATGTAAAAACTGAAGGCAGAACTATGAAACACCAAAAGGGATTTCTGGCATCTCAAAGTGATCCTAGAGATCATTTGACTACATTTAGTAACTGAACTGGATGCAGAATGCAATGATGTGTGCT